CCTGCACCCCCACAGGCGTCCGTGATTTAGCGTGCAGACGTTTGAGAAAAAACAAGAGCAGCTGGCTTTAAAGAGTGCCGAAAGCTACCGCGGTGTCTTTGGGCCTTTCACTTTTCCAAAACAGTCAACAATTTGACATGCACTGTTTTTGCCATGAAATTCATGCGAGGGGACTAATGAAACTGCTTATGAAGCCACGCGCGAGCGCTCAACTTTGATCTCCAGATTCACAGAAAGTCCATGACTTTTCAGCCTTTTAATGGAGGAATGTCTGAGAGCACCGCGTTGAACTCGCCAAGACCAACAGAGCAACGCTCATTTTTTATGGCTGTAGATACAGCAGTTTTAACATAAACGACATTTTGTGGAGAAATGGCTAGAACAATAATCGTATACTTTGGCACATATAGACCCTTCTTACCGCAAATCAAGACTTATCGCGAGATGTGATCAAATTTAGAGATTATCACTAAGCTCAGAATACATCTAATTGCCGAGTATGGTGTTTCACGCTAAAACACGGAATCCGCGGCCACAACCAACGTAGGCGATGCACTTAAATCATTGCCAGTGTGTTTAAATGCATCCTCCATTGAACAGTACGTAGGAAAAACCATGAACTCTGACGCATTATATTGAAATGACTGTGCAGTTGTTTTTTACTAAACCGGCACAGGTAATAACGGGCCAATGGATCACCTTCCGTGACATTATGAATGGCGAGATATTCATGATGGCAAACCGTTGCAGTGAAAAGCCGTAAGATGGCAGGCTACCTGCAATTAACGAATACGAATGTAATTGAGAAAAAGAGACGTAGTCTGCAGAATCACATATAAAAGTAGATATTGAGAAGCAATATGTTTCTCAAGTAAGCAAGGAGACAACTTTTTCTCCGGCACTGAAGGAGTAGCAGAAAAAAGGACGTTTACGGTGTTTTCTCCAGTCAGAAGTGGGGGGGGGGGTGAAGGAGAATGAAGGACTTCGACTTTCCTCTCTAAAGCGTCACACCAGAGACAGTCTTCAGGCAAACACTTAACAGTTTGTGTTTATGGATCCTCTGAGTTTTGTATACAGGCGTCTTTCACTTTGGAAGGAAAATAAACCAACACTTTGTGAGCCTATTTTTATATGCGGCTTTGGAGAGCACTCAGATGGAGGAGAAATTCCCGCATGATCACTATAATCTAATGACAGTTTGCGTGATTGGTCCACAGTTGAGGGTTTGAATGGCCGTCTTATTCACAGAGTACCTCGAGTTAGGAGGGCAAAGAGCAACCGATATCCTAAAAAGCTTTTAGGTTCACCGTCATTTGTCTACGTCCGATGAGTGCTAAAACTGGTAGGGCGCGGGGGATATTTTTGGTGATAAATTTAAGACACTGTAATAAGCGCCACATGGAGTCTACCGGAAGTTCACATGCAATACAGGGAGTCCATATTCTCATGTCTAACAAGCAAAGCCTGGTTAGGGGCTACAGTCAGGTTTATGGGTTAAAGCAACTATTTCTCATCAACTCAAAGTACAACCACGCATTCCGAATTGTTTTTTGTATACAGTTACTTGACCTCATCGCCAATGCGTTTCACGACCCCACATGTAAAAGCGTATATTACCGTCAGTCCCATATTACAGGCAGCTGAGGTTTGTGTACCTCAGGTGCGGTTACATAACCACATCTAGCCCTACTTAGCAATTAATAATGAATGGTAAGCATATCGATGAGAAATTATTGAAAAATCAGATAATAACATTGTATAAACTTTAGCTCCTTGAGAACTGCCTTTGCAATTGGGATATTTTAATAAGTAAAAACACGTTCTGTTTGTCAGCAACCAAGTCCGCATTATAATAAATATTTTTGATAGTACGTTGAATAGATGGTCGGGTTACCTCCAGAAATATGAGGTTTTATTTGAGACCTTAACTAACCAGACTTTCGAATCCTTTTTTCCAATGATATGGAACAACATTCTACCACACATTGGGTAAGGATCAGGCGAAGGCCCTCAGGCATCTCTGGCATACAAAGAATACGTACTGTGCTTATTTAAGTGGGTTTTGGCCAGACATGATCATTACTGCCTGTTGTTTCATCATACAAGTTTTAATCGGCTGTTATAGACGGTTTGGTGCATTATCCATAATCCATAACCCTTTCCCATAACCCTAACTCCTAATCATAACCCTAATCACTTACTCTAATACCTAACATCCTTACCCTAGTACCTAGTCCTAATCCCCAACCGCAGCCCTTAACCACAGCCCGAAACCCAACCCTGAAACATCGAGGGCGGAAGTCAGAAGGGGACGACAGGCCGAAAGGTAACCCTGCAATAATCAAACAAGGCCGCCAACAGATCACACACATCGAAACGCACAGGTAACCCACGCTAAAGTAATCACATCAACTCGAAATAATTAAGTAGATCAGCAATATTGTGTCCATCACGTGAGGCTACATTACCACATAGTAACCTAAATAATTCTTTAATTTGGCCTTGACAATGTATGTCCGCTTTGAGTTTTAGTTTTTTTAAAAATACACCCACATTGCACAGTAACTTGGTAGTATTTCAA